CACCTTATCTTTATTGATTTTGATGATGAAGACTTTGAAGGTCACTTCCAGCTTCACCTACTCACTCCGGAGGTAATAATAATAATAACAACAAGAATAATAATATAACAATAGCAACAACACTAATTATATAATAATATATGAGTAATAATTATCATGATGATCAAGCCAAATTAAATACTACTTCCGTCCCAATGGACTTTGCACTCTTGGAATTAGGTGAGAAAAAAGAATAGTAATAATTGTGTGGTTGAGGTTTTTGTAGAGGAGAGAGAAATGAGCCGAACCACAAAATAGTTACTTTAATGAGAAAGTGACAAAGTTTTTTGGTGAAGTCCAATGGGACGAAGGGAGTATTAAAATAGTAATGGTTATATATTATTATAATAATGAATAATGATAGCAGTAGTAGTGGTGCCAGTGTATTGGGTAAGCTGTAAGACTACTATGGAGTAGTAATAATAATAGTCTTCGTTGTGTGTTTTGGGTAATCATCATCATCATGAATATAATACTAGTCATCCTATATATTTTTCTTCTAACTAAAATTAAAAACGAGTTTTTGAGTTTTGCAGTGGATGAGGATGACATGCTCGAGCATTATCTTGCTGTGAAAACAGTATCACCCTCCCATTCGTGATTTGAAATTGTTGACCAGTTATCATGTATTGCTCTAAAAACTATCCAATTAGTAAAAAATCCTTATTGTACTTGTTTTTGACCAGTGGAGGATGAAAGTTGACCCCAATATCCCATATTCGTCATTCGTCAAAGCAGGGTTGCATATTTGAGTTCCATTTAAAGGTTCCCGTACACTATTCTCCGGTCAACGTGCATTGTTCTTAATCTTTTACTTTATATATCGAAAGTTTATGAAATTTAAATTATTTTTTGTAGGTTTTGTAGCGGTTTTAATGTAGTTTCTGAATATGTAAATTTTATTTACTAAAAATAATTCTATTAATGACAAGGATCATTTAACTGTATAGTCAGTCAAACATTGTAAACCGTGTGGGAACCTTAAAGTGGGACAGAGGGAGTATTTTTTTATATCGCAGGCGGATTTATATTAAACTCAAGAACACATACAAGACCATCTACAGACAGATTTTACATAACTAATCGTGAACCCTAGAAGTAGACATAGAATCAGTCACCTCATACAAAGAAACATGACTCGCTAAAACTGAAACGGGCATATTTAACCCTAAAACTAGTGGTGGACCGGGCCCGGTTCGGACCTAGGCCCGCTCGAGCCTGGAACTCTGGAAGGTCTTGGGTAAGGACTGGAACCGGGTCTTGGTTATTTTTTTTGTGTTTTATTATTTATTTCAAGCCCTACCCCCCGCCCACCCCCAAACCCCTCACAATCACCCAACCCACCTAAACCCAGCCCAAACCCAAAAAAAGTGGCCCGAACCGGCCGGTCTCGCTCACCTTTTTCTTGCACCAGAACCGCCCCCCACCCCCCGGTCGGCGGCCCAGAACCAGTTTCCTGCCCGGTCCCGCACAGTAGCGGCCGGTCAGACCAGATCGAGTCTACCACTACTTAAAACGAACAGATCTGAAACCCTGCCTATCAAAAGAATTCCGAAAATCCAAACATTCAAACTAAATCCACTCGGACTAAAACTAAAATTAGTACTACTGCTAAAGAGAAAATAATATAGAAAGAAAATCTCCCACAAAACTCTTCCTGGTATGGAGGTGGTTCTGGAGGAGGACGAGCTCTTGCCGTATGGATGAATACAAACTCAACCACAGTCGAAGCGGCTGACCAAGGCTTCATGATCCAGCAACGATACAAAAGTTCATCCGCCAACGTTATCTCATCCGACATAGTTGCAATCTAAAGCGTTACAACACTTAAAATCACAAAAATCTGCCGCTCCAACCCATATTGATGGGGCAGCGGAAAATTTCAACCGCTTCTGACCGTGGGACCCATGCCAAATATTCGTATGTTTTTACCTGTCGTTTTTAAAAACAGCACAAGAGAATAAGATCGTATCTCTCTGAATCTTCAAAGCAGTGCCAAAGACTAGTTCATCTTATAAAGATGGTTGGAGCTGATCTTATAGTAAAGTGGTTTAAAATCTTTAGAATGTCACTTATGATAAAAATCGGTATATATTCTTCTTAGAAATATGTTTCATGATTTCATTTTGTTCTAGCTATGATCTTTGGTCTGGACGAACTCAAACCATATACATAATTTGTTCATTTTCTTGCTTCACAATACAGGGAGATAAGGATCTAAGCTACAAAGAGGGGAGATGGCCGCTAGGTTTTTAGAGAGAAGTGAGAGCTCTCCTCTAATGTATTAACTAATTAACCAGTGAAATTCTGCTTCTATTTTTTTTTTTGAAATAATTACATATTAATAACTTAAATAATTACATAGAAATGATCACTTCAAGGATTATAGTAGCAAGTTTAGTTATAGTGATTTATGTTCAATTTGTACACTCAACTGAACATGAGTCCATGAATTTATACTATAGTAATTTGTAGTCATATTGTAAATAAATTGCTGGGTGTGGGGGGCTTGGGGGGTTGTTTACATTATTACTAGTATTTGCATCTGTGCGATGCATGGTCGAAATATTTAACCTTGAATCAAATTAAAAAAATATTAAAATTCAAAATGGTGTATCAAACATTTTACAATGATAATCACTTCAAGGATAAAGGAATCATCTTGTTCCACATAAGATGACATGAAATTTTTTAAATGTTTTGAAGTACTTCCTTATAAACAATACGGAGTATTTGTAAAAGATGAAATATAATAAAATTAAAATCACAATATAATACACATTGGAAAGTTTGCATTACCTAAAATAACATATACCTATCTACTGATTTTGAAACAATTCTTTGTAGACTCATTTACAGTCTCAAAATTTGGGTGTATTTAATTGAAACATTTTAAGACATTTGGAGAATCTAGAAAAGTCTTCACGTATTTAAAACACCAACAGAACTTGGGATTCTTTTTGGGATTAGGAATTTACAGGACTTCACAACAAAAATACGCTCACAAAAATATAATCAAAATACTAAGAACCCAATACTTGTTAAGTTTAATTTAATCAAATAATATTAAATAATCCATACCAAAATTTAAAAACTATAAGAGGGTATGTAACAAAAATACTCATTGTATAAAAGTAAAGATGTAGTTAAACCTTTTGAGTAATTAAATTGTGAATCATGACTACTAACTGTTAAATAATATATCGAACTTCACATAAAATATATGGAGTATTTTTCAACCATAAATCTCATCTTTCACAAAGATAATATTTTGCAAAGATAAAAAAAATAACTTGGAATAGTAGGTCATTAACCGACCAGGGACCAATGATTGAAGATGAGATGCAAAGGTTGGATTATTCATGAATAATCAAAAGGTGGGATTATTGAAAGAAGACCGTTAAAAGGTTGGATTATTAGTTTCCATTTTCCCTTCTTTTATTCATAATATTTACTTGTAAATAACCATGCAAATATTACTCAAAAGATGATTAAAGTGAAATTTCAGCATTGTTGCTATCAGTCGATCACTAGGTGACTACGTACGGTAGGGATTTTAGTAATCGGAGAATCAATTATATTCGAACAAACAATTATGATGAAGTGTTTGCGATTGCTTCTACTTTAAAACGGTAAATTTTTAAAGTAATTTTAGAAAAATTGTTTAGTAGCAAAAGTTGGCAGTGTTTGAAAAAAAAAATGATTATGAAAAAATAAGTGATTATGAAAAACTATAAGAGGGTATGTAACAAAAATACTCATTGTATAAAAGTAAAGATGTAGTTAAACCTTTTGAGTAAGAAAGGGAGTCGAGGGGGGAAGAGAAGGGGAAAGAGAAAAGTAGAGTAAAAGAAAACAGACAAATAAAACAAAGATGTGACTCCCCTCACAATTCTGTCAATGTAAACTGACAATTTAGGGGCTCAGTTGTTTTCACTACGTTGAAACACAGAGTTATGATATCTTCTGGCTGTTTATTGGTCTATCTTCCCTTTCCCTGTAACATTCTCCCGGGCTGGTGTGTGTATTAATTATGGAGTATGTTGAGATATATAATAGCCTCTCCACATACGACTTTTGATACAAATAAAACAAAAATGTGAGGGTGAGCCTCCCCTCACAGTTCTTTCAATAAAAACAGACAATTTAGGGACCACAAAGAAAGTGTGAAAGGAAACACAGAGTTATGATATCTTCTCGCTTCCCTTTCCAAACAGGAAAAGGAAAAAAGAGTGAGATGAACAAGATATTTTATGAACTTCCTCCCACTACTAATCTATGTGGCTGATCTGTAAGCATCTACCATGTTGGGGTTGTGATGCTGGAACTAATATTATGATCACCAAATGTGTTCCAGATAAGTTTTAGGACACATGCTCTTTTGGATCAGCACCTAGAAGGGTGGAATGAGAGCTTAAAGGAGCTTGCATTCAAGTAAGTTCTGAATACAAGCACCAACAACAAAGGATTTGGTACATAAACCCTTGAGATGATCTTTCAACGTTATGATGTCCTCTATTAATATCTTCAGTTCCTACTCTATGAAATGTACCAAGTGTGCTCTTGGAACCATAATGTCTTTCTACATCCTTCTATTCATGTCATTTTTAGTTTACCGTGGGGCCTTTCAAATCGCTGGCAATCCAGGACTCCACATTCACATAATGATCCAGGTTGGATTTACACAGGTTGCGTCCTCACAATACAAGTGTTTAATCAACGACTCAGATGCAAATATGGTGAATAAAGGAAACTGACCTAGTGACCTGAATGTCAATTTCACTTCGATGTTCTGATTAGTGCTTCATGTTGCAACTACAAGTGTTTCGTTACTGATTAAAAATTGCCCATGGAATTCTGATTCTCTTTTCTAAGTTAATTTTGGGGACATTTTGTTATGTTCCATTTCATAATGTTTAATGTCATTTCTTGCGCTAATCTTTCTGGGTATTGGTGTATAGGAGCCGTAAGTTTATATGGGAGGAAATGTCTTATTTGGAGAGATGGTGGAGGGATGCATCAGATGCAAAGAAAGAATCCTTCATCAATTTAGTACAGAATGGACAACTAGAAATCGTAGGATGTGGTTGGGTGATGAATGATGAGGTAAGCCTTTGCTGTTAACGTAATGACACTTTTGCAATGGTATGCAAGTAATAATTTTTCTCTTCAAGTGCTGCATATTTCTACCCATTGGGATCTGGGAATGGTGAACAGAAAGCCATGATTTTAACGGATTACAGTGGCGATTTGACATTTTTCTCAGTAAAATTTACCATAATGAATGAGTTCTGGGTTTCCAGCTTGTTGAAAAAATGGGTTTATTTGTCTGGTAACAGTTGATTAGCTGGTTTTACATGTAAAACTGTAATCATATTTGGTACTTGTGCTGGCGCGCGTTCGGAAAGCTAGACTAAAATAATAATCTTTTGGAAACGTTATGTCAATTTTACTGGGACCCTTGGACCTTTAGAACTTTATTTCCATTTTGCTCTTCATATTTGGTTTTCTCGTCAAGGAATCATTTTTCTTGCAATTGTCTTTCAATCATCTGTGAATTTCTATTGCTTGTGCACCTGCAGCTTATTTTATTCTCTTTTTTTGACAGGCTAATTCACACCACTTTGCAATCATAGAACAGGTAAAGTGTATAATTCTCTTGTTTTTACTCACATTCTTCTTATTCCTGCTTTTCTTAAAGCTGCTGGCTCGATATATAATTATTTATTTTGTGGTTATGCGTTACCTTTTTGGCATTAGTTATTGTCTAGTTCATAAGTGCATATTTTGATTACACATAATAGGGCTGCTTTATTGATACCACCCAACTTTCTTTGCTTTGAGTTTCTAATTGAAAACTGAAGTAATAAGCTGAACAGATGATGCCAACTGGAGAATTAGATAGAGATTTATATGGGGCCCAAAATGTTGCGGTTCTCATTTACTGAGTTGAAAATTGTGACGTTGTTGCATAATGGATGTCATCTCATTCTAGTTTCCATAATATGCTTTAAGTAAATCGTTCTTTTTAACTTTTTATTCATATTTAATAATTTGTAAACCCAGCGAAATAGCTGGGATTTCTTAATAATTATATATGTACTTAAGCATGCATATCACATGCTGTCCCTATAAGCTGTGCTAAGGATCTTGTTTTCTGAATCTATTACCAGATAACAGAGGGTAATTTATGGCTTAATGAAACTTGCGGTGTTGTTCCAAAAAATTCGTGGGTGATTGATCTTTTCGGATACTCTCTAACAATGGCATACCTTTTACGTCGTATGGGTTTCGAGAATATGCTCATACAGAGGACACATTATGAATTGAAGAAGGAACTGGCTTTGTATAGAAATTTAGAATTCGTATGGCGGCAGAGCTGGGATGCTGAAGAAACAACTGACATGTTTGCTCATATGATGCCCTTTTATTCCAATGATATTCCACATACTTGTGGGCCTGAGCCTGCAATATGCTTTCAATTTGACTTTGCTAGAACCTATGGCTTTACGTATGAGCGCTGCCCTTGGGGAGAATATCCACAGGAGACCACGCCAGAAAATGTTAAAGGAAGAGCACTAAAGCTGCTGGATCAATACAGAAAGAAATCAACACTATATCGCACAAATACTCTTCTTATTCCCCTCGGAGATGATTTCCGCTATGTCACTGTTGATGAGGCTGAAGCTCAGTTCAGGAATTATCAGCTTCTGCTTGATTATATCAATTCTGATCCGGACTTGAATGCAGAAGCAAAATTCGGTACCTTGGAAGATTATTTCCGGACTCTTCGTGAAGAGGCTGATAGGGTAAATTACTCCCGTCCAAATGAGATTGGTTGTATTGAGATTGGTGGGTTTCCTTCTCTTTCAGGCGATTTCTTCACATATGCTGACAGACAGCAAGATTACTGGAGTGGTTATTATGTTTCTCGGCCTTTCTTCAAGGCTGTTGATTGTGTGTTGGAGCAAACCCTCTGCGGTGCTGAAATGATGATGGTTTTCCTATTTGGTCATTGTCAGAAACCACAATGTGAGCGGTTACCTACCGGATTTTCCTATAAGTTGGCAGCGGCTAGGAGGAACCTAGCGCTGTTCCAACATCATGATGGGGTTACTGGTACAGCTAAGGACCACGTAGTTAATGATTATGGGGTGAGAATGCACATAGCTTTGCAAGATCTTCAAATATTCATGTCAAAGGCCGTAGAGGTGTTGCTTGGGATTCGCCATGAAAAGAATGAACCGAACCCATCTCAGTTTGAGGCTGCACAAGTGAGATCTAAATACGATGCTCAGCCAGTGCACAAAGCCATGTCTGCTCATGAAGGGACAGTCCAGACTGTGGTGATATTTAATCCACTAGAGCAGACAAGACACGAGGTTGTGATGGTAATTGTTGACAGACCTGAGGTGACAATCTTGGACTCAAATGGGACATGTGTGAGAAGCCAGATATCTCCAGAGATGCAACAACACTACAGCAGCAAGGAGGATGAAACATTATTCTCTGTAGACATCGTGTATACTGGAAAGCTTCGGTCCCCCCGTTAGGGTTGCAAACTTATTATGTCGCTAATGGGTTTGCCGGTTGTGAAAAGGCCATACCAGCAGAGGTCAAATGGTTCGTGCCTTCTTCCAATATTTCTTGTCCCAAACCATATACTTGCTCAAGAATGGAGGGTGAAGAAGCAATAATAAGTACTCGGCATCAGACGTTGACATTTAGCATGAAGGATTGTTACAGAGCGTTAGTCATACCAATGGCCGCCATAATGTTGTTATTGGGGAGGAAATATGTACTCTAGCACTGAGAGTGGAGCTTACCTATTCAAACCAAACGGCGATGCTCAGCCCATTTTTGTAGCCGGTGGGTCGATGGTTATCTCGGCGGGTCACTTGGTGCAGGAAGCTTACTCATTCCCAAAGACACAATGGGACAAAGCTCCAATTTCCCATAGCACTCGCATATATGATTATGGTGGTGGTGACAGTTCCTCGATACAAGGAAATTCATCGAAAAGAAGTACCATGTAGGGGTGGGCAAACGGGTCTTGGAACCGCGGTCCGGTCCGGGTAATGGCAGTTCGGGTCCAAAATGGGCCGGTTCCATTTTTTGTTGCCATAAAACGGTCCGGGTAGGGTCGGGTAATTTTTTTTTTAAGGAACCGGACCGGTTCCAAAATTAAAAAATAACGGGTACCCGGCCCGGCCCGTTATATATTGTATATTAATTTATTATTAGTTTTGTGATAATCGGTTTTGAAAAAGTTTTGTTTCTTTTGCTAGAAGTAGGATTTTAAATTGAGTTGCAGTAACATCCTTTTGTTTTCAAATTATTGATTAAATGTTTCATAAATATCTTATTACTTTTTATTGTTATTGAATTATTCCTTTCTATGGAATTTAATTATTTGTTAAAAATGATTTTGTTGTATTTTTTTATTATATTGTTCTTAAAATATATAAATTGTGTTTACCACCCACCATGTATGTGTCAACTTTGGCTAATACTGAAAATTTAATATATATATATATATATATATATATATATATATATATAAAGCAATCACTTTAATATGTGATGTTAGACGACATGTTTAAATACAAATGTTAGAAAATATGTATTTTGGCTATGTTGCATATTTTTGGAATTTCTTTAATTGTTTGAAACTTATATGCATGAAATTATGGAGTATTGGACTTGTCGCTTGTGTTACATGTGCATCGCTATGTTGTTATTATGAAACTTGCTAATGTCCTATATCATTAATTATTGATTTTTGGAACTTCGTGAGTTTTTACTAATTTCAAGATATGAGAATAGAAACCGTAAAACCCGAACCGGACCGATCCGTTTCAAACGGGCCGGGTAATTTCCGGTTCCTATTTTGAAAATTGTAATACCCGGACCGGACCGAACCGTACAATGGAACCGGCGGTTCCATTTTATTTTGCATTACCTGTCCCGACCCGGCCCGTGCCCAGCCCTAGTACTACCATGTGGAGCTTCTTGGCAGTGATTTTAACAACAAAGAACTAATAGTAACTGATATTGACAACCAAAGGGTTTTCTATTCTGATTTAAATGGGTTCCGAATGAGCCGTAGAGAGACGTATGATAAGATCCCTGTTCAAGGGAACTATTATCCGATGCCATCTCTTGCTTTTATATAGGGACCGGATGGTCGACGCTTCTCTGTCCACACCCGGCAGTCCCTAGGTGTGGCAAGCCTTAGAGATGGATGGTTAGAGATAATGCTGGACCAGCGATTGGTGTGGGATGATGGGTGTGGTCTTGGACAGGGGGTGATGGAGTGATGGACAATCGGCCAATGAATGTTGTGTTCCACATCCTTGTAGAGTCTTCTTCTAACGCTTCAATAGCTCCTGCAATTACTAATCATCACCCTCTAAGCCCTTCCCTTTTATCTCATCTCATAAATTCCCACTTAAACTACCCCTCAACACATTTATATCCAAGAAAGCACATGAAATCTCTGTACAGCCTCCCCCCAAGATCCTTCTCTCCACTGGCATCCAACCTTCCATGTGACTTGCACATCCTAAGTTTCAAGGTGCCTCGCCCTTTAAAATATTCCCAGCAGCCTCACTTGAGGAAGTGCCTAAGTTTGTTCTCATCTTCCAGTGGCGGCATTGGGACTCCTCGTATTGTCGGAAGGGTGACATGTCTGATTGCGTGTGGCTGATGTCCCAGTTAACCTATTTGACATGTTCAAGGGTCTTTCCGTTTCGAATGCAATTCCCATTTCTTTGAATCTTTTGCATGAAGATACAGAGATGCTTGGTTATAAGGGGCATTTTGCAGATGGTGCACGTGAAGGTCATGTCCTCATCTCTCCCATGGAAATACAGGCTTACAAATTACACCTACGACCAAATTAGCCAGAGTAATTTTTGCAATTTTCTTTGACCAAAGTGTTTTTCTTCTTAAGGAGGTTTAGAGGTACTCTCCATGATATTGACCAAGGTGGGAAAAGAAATATAGCTGGAGGGGCCTAATTACAATTAAGTAAAAAATAGAGGTGAAAAGAAATGAAGCAAGGTGGCAACAGCTGGTTTTCCTTCCAAGTCAAGGTGGCAACAGCTGGTTTTCCTTCCAAGTCTGTCGCTGGTTGAAGAATTTTCTGTCTTCTTTGTCCTACATCCCAAAGAAGCACTGGTAGCTGGTTTTTGCATTTTTTGATGGACTGTTAGAATTTGAGGGAACATCACTACATGACTTGTGCCTGAAATTAAATTACTGACTTTCTTGTAATTAATAGTAAAAATTGGTAGTGTGTGAGAAAAAGGTGGTTCTGAAAAAGTAAAAGTTGGTATGTTTGGTAAAATAATTGCTTTTTGTGTAATAGAAAAGTGAAAAACAGTTTAAAGCACCTTCTACCTGCTTCCAACTTTTAGCTTTTAAATGCTTAATTTAAATAGAAGTTGTCATTTGAAAACACTTATTTCAATTTTTGAAGCCAAAAGTTAAAAAACACTTATTTCCTGTAGACATGTAGTTCGGGAAGACCTATTGCATTTCTTATGTACAATCTTATAAACATGAATAGAGGTAAGGGTATAATTTAATACCTTAAAAATGTTGGTGTAACTTTGTTGCTATATGTTTATAATTAAGAGTTGTACAATTTTGATTATATGTGTATACTTAGAACATTGCTCTGTTAACCTAAGCATTCAAGCTCCGTTAACTTGTTTCTAAACAATTTAATAGTTTAATTAAATCCTATTTAGACTCTTGGAATCCACTTTGAGATGTTTTAAATTTTAATGAGCCGTTGATGCATTTGATTTTAATAGATAAAAACAAAGTAATGGATTGTTTTGAATCCATCCATCATAAAATTATAATTTAAAAATATTTTCTCAAATCATCCATTTGCCACCCATAATTCCAAGGCAAAACTTTAAAAACATTCATTTTGAATAGAGAATAATCCAAGATTCATGAGGAAAGCATGAAGACACTTCTTAATAAGCTTTTAGAGATAGTTTTTCTTATTATATTCCATGTTCCTTTAGGAAATTGCTCACAAAAGTACTACCAATAAACATGTACTAGGTATATTTTAATCTCATTAAGTTTTTCGGATGTGGTCATGTGGATGAGAAAACATAGGTTTCATTTAGTTTTATTTATTTATTTTTGGAATCTTTCAGTATGAAGGATTTGTTTTTGAAAACTTATTAAGGAATGTTAGATACTGTGTTTCTTGGCAACTATAACTGTCAATAAGAAAACTTTTATAAGTAATTGAATTTACTCAAGATTCAATACACATTTTTCTAACAAAAAATCATTGGGCAATTTCCTAATCGCGCAATGCACTTGTAAAAAACTAGTTAATGTTACAAAGTTATGTGCAAGTGTGTTACGCTAATTTACACTAACAATACATACTTGATTACATCTTACAGGTGGGAAAAGCAATATGTTGCTGAAGATTTTTTTATATTCTATAGCTTCTTATATATTTCCTCCGTTCTTAAATAAGTGCAACGGTCAACATTTCACACTTGTCGAGACACAACTTTGACCATTAATATATATAATTCTTTATTAGTAAAAAAGATTAAAAAAATAGATTTTGAAATTTTACAATGAGAGAAATTTAACAATATTCTTTTCAAGAAAATATATTAATACATTATTTAATTAAACGTAGTCAAAGTAGAACATGTGAATAATGTAAAATTCAACATATTGCACTTATTTTAAGAACATAGGTAGTATGAATATACAATCATCAATATGTCTTGAAGGTTTCATTGCCATAAAGTAATGACAACTTTTCTTGAAGAAAATAAAAGATTCAGGTTTCATGGGCAATTTTTAAATCCATCTAAACTTTTTATTCTTTTCAATATTGAAAAATATATTGAGGAACAACATTGATATAATATTTGATATTTTTCACAAAACAATAAGTAGATTGGGTGACAAATGTCAAAACACACGTCAACATTCCTAAATTTCATGTGAATACAACCTATATAGGATTTATAAACCAGCCTACTATTGTTAGCATTACTATATGCAGTTCTACCTTCCCAAACATTGGAAACTATTCAGCACATTGCAATTTTCACAGCTTTCATAAAAATAAATCAAAGTTTGTTGTGATATTAATTAAATTAAAAACGTAACATTTCATAAGGTTTTACTCTTTACTTATTAGATCAATTGAATAGATTTAATTGTCATTAAAATTCTAAAAAAATATTTTACGAATATATCATGTCTTTTACAAAAGTAAAAACTGAGGGCAGAAACATTTTGAGTAAACTTATTTAAATTAACGATCTTCAATCCTCATAGAGCTACATAAAACAAATCTTGCTCACTTTGATCCCAAAACTCAAGTATAAAATGCATTTAGTTATCAGAGAACACATGCAAACTGATTAGTTGTTTGGTAATTAACGCTTTGTGATCCGTTTGATTAGGCTATTGATGAACGTGACAAGATCAACGGTTATATGTTGTGGTAAAGACATACTTAAATACGGATTCAACATATTCTTCTGACTCAGATAGTGCACTCCATCCAGAGACCTATTTTTTTCACAATTTCTCAATACCATTAAATGCTTTGGTGTGCCAAGCCATGAGTTGAAGTTGAAAGTGGGTGCATATGTTATGTTAATGAGAAATATTTATCGTTCTTCCGGATTGTGTAATGACACTCGCCTTATGATCACTAAATTTGAAACACATACTCTTGAGGTCACATGATGTCAGAAACAAATGCAGGACAAAAGTTACTTTTTCTGAAAGAGTAAAGGGTCAGTTTGGTTCCCGAAGTTGCAAAAAAGGTGTCAAATAAGTCCTTATATAGAAGATTCTGTCCGGACGTGCCATTTGAGGTGGCTCCCGGTAAAATTTTTTGATGAAATTTTTTGAGCATCTTATTCATTAAGTCTAGTTTACTCATACCAAATTTCAGCTAAAAATTCAATCGGGAAGACATTCAAATGAATTCTTGAAGACAACTGCGCTTTTAACGGCACAGTTATCTTCAAGAATTCATTTGAATGTTTTCCCGATTGAATTTTTATCTGAAATTTGGTATGAGTAAACTAGACTTAATGAATAAGATGCTCAAAAAATTTCATCCAAAAATTCCACCGGGAGCCACCTCAAATGGCACGTCCGGACAGAATTTTCTATATAAGGACTTATTTGACCCCTTTTTTGCTACTTCAAGGACCAAACTGACCCTTATCCCTTTTCTGAAACTTAGCTTAACTCCATTTGACATAAAGCTGTCATTCACATGTCAGTGTAGACAGTTCCTT